AAAAAAAAAAAAAAAAAAAAAAACTTTTTAAATAATTAATTAATTAATTAATTAATTCATTTCGGTATTTTTACTTTACGGTTCGTTAATTTTAAATTTTTTAAATTTTAAAACATGGCATTAAAAATAATTTTCAAAAAATTTCTCTTAATTAATTAATTTTACGTAAAAAAAAAAAAAGAAAAGAAAAACTATTCGACTAATTTTTAGTATAATCGTAGTAGGTAAAAACATAAATAAAAAAAATTAAACAATAAAAAATAATTATTAATTAATAATTTTTTTAAATTCGGAGATTGAAAGGGATATTGATATAAAATGTCGTAAAAAAAAAAAATGAATTAAATTTTTAATTTTCAGTATGTCTCCTCTTTTTGATCTTTTTTTTTTTATCTCTTTCTCTCTCTCTCTCTCACTCTCTCTCTCTTTTTCTATTCGTTAGTTAATAATATCATTAATATTTTTTTAATTAATAACAACACAAACAAGCTGGATTTTATTTTTTTTTTTTTTTTTTTTTTTTCGTTTTTTGTTACTGTCGACGATTGATTATGTGTCACGATCGTAATAAAATAATAAGTCGAAGAGTTTTATCATTATTATTATTATTATTATTATTATCAGTATTATTATTATTACATCATTTTTCACATGGTTGACAGTTATTCGATATTCAGAATCATTTTTTTTTTTATATAATTCCTTATTTTTATAAAATTTTAATTAATTTTTTTGTTACCATCTATTAAATTTCTGTAGTCTATTATATGAGGGATTTTGTATGATAATTATCATTATTATTTAATCGATAATTATCTGGTGTAAATTATCATCATTAATTAATTTTTAAAGATGGCGAATGTCAAAACCTTTTTTTTTTTAAAAAATAATTTTTAATTAATTGCAATGGAAAAAAATTTTCTAATAGTATTTTATAATATTGTATCAGATGGAGGATAGAGAGAGAGAGAGGGGGAGGGGGTGGAAAATCATTTGGAAAACAATGAATTTTATAAATGGCAAGGGGGGTGGGGTGGAAATTGGTTTAATCCTCGATGGTTGTTATATTGCTTCGACATTGAATGTAACCAATGTAGTTAAAAGTAGCTGGAAAAGAAAGGGCAACACCACCGAGCCTGGCTGGGTAAATTGTCTAGAGCCTTTGGCGACAGGCAGACTCTTGGTTGTTCGTTTTTTTTTTTTTTTTTATTAACTTTAAAACCATTTCAAAGGGTTCTTATTAATGTGGGTGTATTAAATACAATTTTTTTTTATGTATATGTAGTTAAAATTTTTATTTTTATTATTTTAAAACTTAAATAGAGATTAAATTCAAATAGTATAAAATTTAATTTTTTTTATTACTGAAAAAATTAGAGTAATTTTAAATTATTATTATTGTTGTTGTTGGGGGAGAGGGGGTGGAGGTGGAGGTGAAAAACAATAACAATCGCATAAGAGAAAATAATTTTATTACTTATTAAAAAAAAAAAAATTGTTATAAAATAATTTGTGTGTGAAAAAAAAAAGAAAACAGAATTGTGGTGAATTGGGTAGTAGTGGTAGTAGTGGTGGTGGTGGTGGTGGTGGTGGTACAATAAAGACTAAAATCTTGAGAAAAATATTACGAAAATTTTGTTACGTCATAAATCAATAGGGCGGCATTAATATTAAATTTTTTTTTTTTTGTAAGATTTTCCGTCGCGTAATTTATCAAAAATTATCCCCTCGTAAATAAATAAATAAAAAATTTGGTAATAAATCGGTTTTTCCTCTGAGTGAAAATTATTACAAAAAAGTCTGAACATTTAAAAAAAAAAAAAGAAAACAAAAGAAACGTAAACAAAGAATTATTTGTAGCAGAAGACGGAGTGAAAGATGTAGTTAGACCTTGGTTTCACTGAAGCCACGATGGAAGCTGGAACTGTTGATGTGAGGAGCTCAGTTCAGTTCTCGGTTAGTTGCCAGACCTGTCGGTGGTCAGGATCAGGTACGATTCGTACGGTTGTTGTTGTTGTTGTTATTGTTATTGTGTGTGTGTGTGTGAATGTGTGTGTATGTGTATGTGTGTGTGTGGGGTCGATGACAGATGCGCGCGCACATTTCTTGAATCATTCCTTTGTTGACATTCATCGCGTGGGTGAACCTTTCTCTAAATTTTATTACTTTTTTTTTATTTTTATTTATTTATTTATAAAAAAAAATGAATATGAAATTTTTTAACGGTTTTTCTCTTATCATTTTGGAATAAATAATAATAATAATAATAATAATCACTCTGTTACTGTTCGTATTTTATTGATAAGTAAGTATTTTACGTTGTTGCACATACACTATAAACGA